AGCGCCAGCTGGGAGGCAGGGGCTTGTTCCTGCTCCCCTCCCCGGGGAGCCCTGCCCCTCGCTCCAGGCAGCCCCACGCGCTCTGCCTCGGTGCCTCGCTGGGCCTGGCGCCCGGGGACTTGCCTCTGACCCGACTGCGCCCTGCCCGGCCCGTTCCAGGGCAGGTCCTGCCTCCCCCAGATAATTCCAGCAGCCCCCAGAGTGAGACCCAGCCCGTCCCTGCAAGCCAGGGCCGAGCCCGCGGGACACTGGCCCAGGCAGACCCACACAAAGACAAAGCAAGAAAATCGGTGCCTCGCTGGGCCTGGCGCCCGGGGACTTGCCTCTGACCCGACTGCGCCCTGCCCGGCCCGTTCCAGGGCAGGTCCTGCCTCCCCCAGATAATTCCAGCAGCCCCCAGAGTGAGACCCAGCCCGTCCCTGCAAGCCAGGGCCGAGCCCGCGGGACACTGGCCCAGGCAGACCCACACAAAGACAAAGCAAGAAAATCAACCATGACGCTCCCAAAGGGCGGCATTCAAGGCCGGGTTGGCCCCTGGCCCTGCCCATCCCCAGCCACTGGACTCAGAAGGATGTTGCCCGGCTGGCTGACTAGCAGGGACAGGATTGCGGCTGTTTCCCTCAGTTCTCTGAGGAAGCTCTCCCGGCAGAGGGCAGGACAGGGCCGTGGGCAGAGGAGGGCTATCCCTGTGGATGTGCGAGGCGTGGGGCCCGGCACTACCAGCGGGCCGTGGCCGTGGACAGAGGAGGGCTATCCCTGTGGATGTGCGAGGCGTGGGGCCCGGCACTACCAGCGGGCCGTGGCCGTGGACAGAGGAGGGCTATCCCTGTGGATGTGCGAGGCGTGGGGCCCGGCACTACCAGCGGGCCGTGGCCGTGGACAGAGGAGGGCTATCCCTGTGGATGTGCGAGGCGTGGGGCCCGGCACTACCAGCGGGCCGTGGCCGTGGACAGAGGAGGGCTATCCCTGTGGATGTGCGAGGCGTGGGGCCCGGCACTACCAGCGGGCCGTGGCCGTGGACAGAGGAGGGCTATCCCTGTGGATGTGCGAGGCGTGGGGCCCGGCACTACCAGCGGGCCGTGGCCGTGGACAGAGGAGGGCTATCCCTGTGGATGTGCGAGGCGTGGGGCCCGGCACTACCAGCGGGCCGTGGCCGTGGACAGAGGAGGGCTATCCCTGTGGATGTGCGAGGCGTGGGGCCCGGCACTACCAGCGGGCCGTGGCCGTGGACAGAGGAGGGCTATCCCTGTGGATGTGCGAGGCGTGGGGCCCGGCACTACCAGCGGGCCGTGGCCGTGGACAGAGGAGGGCTATCCCTGTGGATGTGCGAGGCGTGGGGCCCGGCACTACCAGCGGGCCGTGGCCGTGGACAGAGGAGGGCTATCCCTGTGGATGTGCGAGGCGTGGGGCCCGGCACTACCAGCGGGCCGTGGCCGTGGACAGAGGAGGGCTATCCCTGTGGATGTGCGAGGCGTGGGGCCCGGCACTACCAGCGGGCCGTGGCCGTGGACAGAGGAGGGCTATCCCTGTGGATGTGCGAGGCGTGGGGCCCGGCACTACCAGCGGGCCGTGGCCGTGGACAGAGGAGGGCTATCCCTGTGGATGTGCGAGGCGTGGGGCCCGGCACTACCAGCGGGCCGTGGCCGTGGACAGAGGAGGGCTATCCCTGTGGATGTGCGAGGCGTGGGGCCCGGCACTACCAGCGGGCCGTGGCCGTGGACAGAGGAGGGCTATCCCTGTGGATGTGCGAGGCGTGGGGCCCGGCACTACCAGCGGGCCGTGGCCGTGGACAGAGGAGGGCTATCCCTGTGGATGTGCGAGGCGTGGGGCCCGGCACTACCAGCGGGCCGTGGCCGTGGACAGAGGAGGGCTATCCCTGTGGATGTGCGAGGCGTGGGGCCCGGCACTACCAGCGGGCCGTGGCCGTGGACAGAGGAGGGCTATCCCTGTGGATGTGCGAGGCGTGGGGCCCGGCACTACCAGCGGGCCGTGGCCGTGGACAGAGGAGGGCTATCCCTGTGGATGTGCGAGGCGTGGGGCCCGGCACTACCAGCGGGCCGTGGCCGTGGACAGAGGAGGGCTATCCCTGTGGATGTGCGAGGCGTGGGGCCCGGCACTACCAGCGGGCCGTGGCCGTGGACAGAGGAGGGCTATCCCTGTGGATGTGCGAGGCGTGGGGCCCGGCACTACCAGCGGGCCGTGGCCGTGGACAGAGGAGGGCTATCCCTGTGGATGTGCGAGGCGTGGGGCCCGGCACTACCAGCGGGCCGTGGCCGTGGACAGAGGAGGGCTATCCCTGTGGATGTGCGAGGCGTGGGGCCCGGCACTACCAGCGGGCCGTGGCCGTGGACAGAGGAGGGCTATCCCTGTGGATGTGCGAGGCGTGGGGCCCGGCACTACCAGCGGGCCGTGGCCGTGGACAGAGGAGGGCTATCCCTGTGGATGTGCGAGGCGTGGGGCCCGGCACTACCAGCGGGCCGTGGCCGTGGACAGAGGAGGGCTATCCCTGTGGATGTGCGAGGCGTGGGGCCCGGCACTACCAGCGGGCCGTGGCCGTGGACAGAGGAGGGCTATCCCTGTGGATGTGCGAGGCGTGGGGCCCGGCACTACCAGCGGGCCGTGGCCGTGGACAGAGGAGGGCTATCCCTGTGGATGTGCGAGGCGTGGGGCCCGGCACTACCAGCGGGCCGTGGCCGTGGACAGAGGAGGGCTATCCCTGTGGATGTGCGAGGCGTGGGGCCCGGCACTACCAGCGGGCCGTGGCCGTGGACAGAGGAGGGCTATCCCTGTGGATGTGCGAGGCGTGGGGCCCGGCACTACCAGCGGGCCGTGGCCGTGGACAGAGGAGGGCTATCCCTGTGGATGTGCGAGGCGTGGGGCCCGGCACTACCAGCGGGCCGTGGCCGTGGACAGAGGAGGGCTATCCCTGTGGATGTGCGAGGCGTGGGGCCCGGCACTACCAGCGGGCCGTGGCCGTGGACAGAGGAGGGCTATCCCTGTGGATGTGCGAAAAGACAGAGCTAGAAAATCAACCATGACGCTCCCAAAGGGCGGCATTCAAGGCCGGGTTGGCCCCTGGCCCTGCCCATCCCCAGCCACTGGACTCAGAAGGATGTTGCCCGGCTGGCTGACTAGCAGGGACAGGATTGCGGCTGTTTCCCTCAGTTCTCTGAGGAAGCTCTCCCGGCAGAGGGCAGGACAGGGCCGTGGGCAGAGGAGGGCTATCCCTGTGGATGTGCGAGGCGTGGGGCCCGGCACTACCAGCGGGCCGTGGGCGTGG